TTTTACTGCTGTTCTGGGTTTGTTTCTTTTTAACTGATAGTCTTTAGGGAGCAAGGTGAATTGTTAGTGACCATGGGCTAACGCAGGGATTGGCAACCTATCAGAAGTGGTGTGCCGCGTCTTCATTAATTCACTCTGATTTAAGGTTTCGCGTGCCAGTAATACATTTTAACGTTTTTAGAAGGTCTCTTTCTATAAGTCTGTAATATATAACTAAACTATAGTTGTATGTAAAATAAATAAGGTTTTTAAAATGTTTAAGAAGCTTCATTTAAAATTAAATTAAAATGCAGAGTCCCCCGGACCGGTGGGCAGGACCCTGGCAGTGTGAGTGCCACTGAAAATCAGCTCGCATGTCGCCTTCAGCACGCGTGCCATAGGTTGCCTACCCCTGGGCTAATGCCTCTGAAGGAAATGGCTTGTGTTTTGGAACAACCTAATTTCTTTTTAACAAGAAAATCAAAGCCATGTTTAAATCGTCAAGCTAATCCTCAGTGGAGGATGAAATTGGTTGGAATTCTGGAATGGTGATTAATTATGCTCTCAGATAACCCTTTTGTACATCAGATTAAATGGTTTGGGGCTTCTTTTGTTCTGATCAGAAGTAAATGCCGAGGCTGGAGTGTGCACAAACAGTGTGAGTAGATCAGTTTGCATGGTATGCACCTCTGTCCAGAGCTGCATCTGTTGCTGCTGCATCCTAACACTAAGCCTGTCAGAGACAACCTGGTAACAAATTGAGTGTGGGATGGATCTGTCTCTTCCTTGACTTAATGACTTCACTAATCCATGGGAATCCATCTCCTTCCCATGCTGTGATAAAGGTCAGTTTCTACACTCTAGGGGCCAAAACTCTCGACTCCAGTGCAATGCCCTAGCATACAAGCTTTGCACAGGAGTTCTTCACAGGCTTCCCATCTTCAGGCCACAGAGCACTAATAGAGCTGCTTCAGAGTTACTAGCGCGGCCACAGGGCTGCAGTGTCCACAACCCTGTGCGCTACATGAACAGGAATTAGCCAAGTCTATATGCAAACATGTATGTTTAGTGTGAAGGCAGCATTCCTCTCTGGAAAGTTCATCCAGATCGTACACTTACAGTTGATGGAGCATTAATGGGTTCTTGGTGGGGTATCAGAAATTTCTCTCTCGCTCCTTACTCTGTGAGCATCCCTATTCTCTGAAGGGGATTCATGCTTTGGGGTTAGATAGTTTAATATAGTTTTAATGTAAGATTTTAAAACTGCCATTTGATTGCAGCTTCTAATGACTGTGACATTTTTATCACTTTGTTAAACTGCAGAGAGAGCAGGGAATGATTATGCATGGGAGGGAGAACAGTGTTACTGCAAGGGGAAAATTGTTCAGTTTTGCTTCTTTCCAGTCTGTGATATTTAGTGTGCTAAGAAAGCATGAAAATTCTTACCTGTTGGCGTGTGATCAGATGTGATCTGGAGTTAAGATTGTAGGCCAAATTCTTCCCTTGTTTACACCCATAAAACCCTATTGAAATCCATGAGGTTGAGTAGATGTAAATAAGAGCAAAATTAGACCCCATATCCTTACCTGCTCGTGCAGTTTTTCTCTTAAACCCTCTTCACAGCCTCTTTGCAGCAGGGTTCAGCTTCATTATTTTTAATTGTGCATTTATTGAATGCTTAGGGCCAGGACCTTCCGTTCAGTCACTGTGCACAGACTCCCCATGATCTACAGCAAAGGCCTGTGTGTGCCTGGACTGAAGACTGTAGGCTGATTCTGATCTTGATTTACAAACTGGTGTGAATCAGAAGTAATTCCATTCAAGCTGTCAAGTATCAGGGGGTAGCCGTGTTAGTCTGTATCTACAAAAGCAACAAGGAGTCTGGTGGCACCTTAAAGCTTTAAGGTGCCACCAGACTTCTTGTTGTTTCCATTCAAGCTGGAGTCACACTGGTGTAGGTGACATCAGAATCAGAACCAGTGTATGACAATAATTAACAACTTGACTTATGCGTAAAAGACTCAAGCAGGCTAGTGTTATTCTTGCATTTTTGTACTTCACTAAACATAATCCAGGGTAAGAGAGAAATGCTAGGACTAACCAGACAAAAAATCCAGTTAAGGGATTCAGATGTATATGTCCTGCAGCACTGTGTTGTCAGAGATGATTAGTGGGTGACAGCTGTATATTATATATGATCATTTCCTTTTCTGGACTTATCAGCTTTTTTTATAGTCTTAGGTGGTTGGTGGTTAGGTTAATGTACCCATCGGATAGCTAATTTCACCCTTTTTCATCACCCTTTCAGAATGTATTAGAGAGCAACTCTAACTGCCACGTATTTACACTGCAGCTCATGTACTAGTCCTTTTGTGCCTTTTTAAATACCTTTCTGTTGATTATATTGTAATGAATTGGACATGTGAGTATGTGTGACTGCCCCTTAGTGACTGGAATCAGCAAGGTTTAACTGTGTATCCTTGGCCCTGTACTGCTAACAGCAAAAGGAGAGTGTGACGTTCTGCACCTTGTGGGAACACTCTACACCCCCATGTTCATCCTTATAATATGATTGTGTGGATCTAATGCAAAGTTTGTCATGTTGGGTGTCTTCGGAAGGTTCATGATATACTGAGCATTGTTGTTATGGTAATATCATAGTAATCGTTGTTATAGTAGTGTTATGTTATGGGTTGTAATTTCATGTATATAGTTATGAGGTTGAAAATGTGTCCTCGTGGCTTAAAGCAAGCCCATGCAAAAACTCTGCAGAAGCAGAGGGGCAGTTCACACCTCATCAGGGCATGTATGGGACAAAACCAGCCCAGCCTTACAGGAACAAAGGACACTGGCCTAGGCAACAACAAAGGATCTGTTGGACTCTCGAGTGAGTCACTCCTCTTCCTTTGGTCAGTTTGGGACTGCGATGAGGTAATGCTCACCTGACTCTGAAGGGGAACGTAAAGTCAAGAGGGAAGAAAGGACATGATAAAAGGGAGAGAGGTTTGCCATGCTCTTCCTCTCTTTTCCACCTACATCTACAGACACCACACCAAGCGACTGAAGTGCTGATCAAAGGGGAGAGCCTGGCTGAAGAGCAACCAGCCAGCCTCTGGTGAGAAGCATCTAAGTTTGAAAGGGCATTGAAAGTGTTAAGATAATCTTAGAATGCGTTTTGCTTTTATTTCATTTGACCAAATCTGACTTGTTATGCTTAGATTTTAATTGATTAGAAGTCAATCTTTGTAGTTAATAAATGTTTGTTTATTCTACCTGAAGCAGTGCGTTTGGTTTAAAGCGTGTCAGAGACTCCCCTTGTGATAACAAGCCTGGTACATATCAATTTCTTTGTTAAATTGATGAACTCATATAATCTTGCAGTGTCCAGCGGGCATAAATGGACACTGCAAGACCGAGTTTCCTAGGGTTGTGTCTGGGACCAGAGATATTGGCTAGTGTCATTCGGTTGCAAGTAGCTGGGAGCAGCTTTCATGCCAGAGGCTGTGCGTGAACAGCCCAGGAGTGGGGGTTCTCACAGCAGAGCAGGGTAAGGCTGGCTCCCAGAGCCAAGGATTGGAGTGATCTAGCAGTTCACCGGTCCAGATAACACCAGGGGGGAACGTCACAGAGAGTTCCCTTTAGTGCAGCTGGGTAGGCTTTTTCCCAGCAGGAGGTTCTGAGATCTAAGTTCTCAGGCGCTAGGATGGACAGTGTAGTGATTATCTTGAAGTCCTATGTGGCTATGGATTTGATGCACTTTGTAAGAATGGTTGGTTCACAATGTGTGTCTTTCCATGTGTCATGCTGCTTGATAGATAGGGCAACCTCCTGCAATATCTTTGGAAGGCCATATTGTATTAAGTTTATGAATGGTTTATGTATCATTGTGGGTCAGATGTTGCATGCACTCCATCAGGGGAAGGTGAACACAGCTCCTCCAGGAAGTGAAAACAGTAGGGGATGGTTAGAGCAAATAATTCAGCTTTAACACCTCCAGAGAGGTATCACCTCTTGGGGAGGCTCGAAGATTCTGGTTCAAACTAGATTCTCCAGAGACCAGCAGACAAGGAAAGGGTGCTTGGATAAATAACCTGAGTTTAAACTGACTTGAGGCCTTTCTTGTAACCAAGAAAACCAAGTTGAGCCCTATGTTGGAATTCGGGGTGATCACTGATAAGCTTTTTAGCGTGTGTGTAGGTTCTTTTATTGTTTTTATATTCTTTTTTTTAATGCTGTTACTTTAATAATAAATGTGCTTGCTTAGAAGGAACTATGTGGTAACTTGTAACTGCTGGCAATACACTGTTCAAAGTCCATGGAGAGAAAGCAAAGCACAGGTGCTGGCCTGTGGGGGATATCAGAGTGTAGATCTGAGAGCACTGCCGCCTTAAAAATCTCTGTCGGAAGAGAGAGAGACATGGGTCTCCCTCCAGGAGAGGCGACGGCTGGGAGCCAAAAATCTTTAAAAGGGTGCTCTCACAGACCACACAGGAGGAAATACTGGTGCAGTTGCCCTGAAATTGTGACATGCTGTACCTATAAATGTGATTTAAAACAAGATCAGATATTTGGCTTTTCATCCCTGTCATTATTCTTTTAAGAGGCTGTACTAATTTCCTCCTTCCAGTATTAGCAACTAACACTATCTGTTGATCTAGATATGAAAAGCAGAAGTATCTTTTAGCTGACTTCCAGATCAGCTGATGAAATTCTGCCCTTATCACTTGTAAATGTTTTGTAACTAGTTTGTTGATTGGTTTTGCTTTTCCTTCTGGATGTTTTTAACTTATAGCTCCCTGCTGACATTCTGCCTTCATTTTCTTCGAATCTTTTTCACATGCCTGCTACTGGAGGTTTTGGCTACATCCTTGCTTAGCTGACGCTATCACTCAGTAATCTTTCATTGTGTTTCCTTCTAGAGATCCACGTGGAGAAAATCCTTCATGCCACATGTTTTCCGTGAGCCCTAAGACCACAGCTGTCTGCAGTGTCATCTGAGATCTTAAGAGTCACACACAGTTATGGGAGATTCTCCAGCCGACACCACTGATGAAGGTGCAGACACATGCTGCAAAGACACTCAGACTGACCTGGCAGAGAGAGTAGCAGCCATAGATGTTGCTGTTGGGCCTAATATAGATGACCAAAATGTTCAAGAAGCAATAGAAGAGAATGACACAGTCTTTTCTGACAGTGTAGCAGACATGCAGAGGAATAGGGTCCATAGTGACATGGTAACAAATGAATCTTTACCTTCACAAGACCCAGAGGATGTTAATCAGATGAATGTTCCAAAGAAAGCTCCCACTAGGCCTGTTCTATCCAGCAGAAAGTTGTCTCTTCAAGAAAGACCTACAGGAAGCTACCTGGCTTCTACCAATGCTCCAGGCTATGGTCCTTATGCAACAGGACCTTTAACACATATCTCGCCACGTATAGTGAGGAGACCAACGATAGAGTCCAACCGGATCGCCATCTCAGATTCTGAGGTAGGTTTCTTCTCTGCTGTAATAATGATGCCAAGGTATGATGCTGTCTTTTCTGCCTGCTGATAGGAAACTTCAGCCTCCAAAGCCAATAGTTTCAGAGGCACTAAATTTAACTTATGCATAAATGCCTAAAAACAATAATAAGCTATGATTATAAGCAACTTGTAGCATAGGTTGTAACATAGGTAAGCAACTTGTATATGTCTGTGCCTTCAACACTTGAAGCAGTCTTTACTTCTATTGTAAATGGACCATCTGATCATCTAGGTCATGATTCAGTAAGCTACGTAAGCATGTGCCCAGCACACGAGTTGTCCCATTGAAGTTAATGCCTTCCTTATAACTATTCCAGTTGAATAGTAGAAGCAGCAGCATGGTAGGCTAAATTTGGTATCCCATAATTTTTTTTAATGAGTAGAGGTAAGGCTGGTTTCAAATGGATTTCCTTGGGTTTTTTTTACCGCATGGGCCCTCAAGAAGTTCATCTGCTGTGGCAGCTTTGTCATGATTATTTTATGGGTTTACGCATGTGGAGATCAGGCATTTCCCATCATGCCACGTGAATGAGGTTGTGGTTATTGGAGACATGATTTAATTTCATGTGAAGTGTAAATATATTGCAATCTCCCTCTCCTGATTTTTACATTTTTATTGACTTTCAAAAATAATTCCTCAGGTAGAAGCTAAATTCCTCAGACAGTGTTTCCAGGATTGCATAGACTCCCACAGAGCCCCACCAAACAGCTTTGTGAATGTGCAGATTACACAGTCCTATTTCACACCTCAGAGCTCACTGAATAAAATAAGGCATGCAGCAGTCCACGGTGATAACACAAGCTGTACAGCGCTTGAATAATACAGGAAGTGCTCGCAGACAATGTTGAAACTTTGATAGGGTTTTCTTTGAAAGCTCTGCATAATGAAAGGCCTGTATTCCTTTTGTAGGCTGTGTAACCCGCTCTCAGAATAGCACTTACAACTTCACTCGTACCATATAAAGCTATTCTGAACAGAGTACTGGAAAACAATCCTGACTGGAGGGAGGCAAAGATGTACCAATCTTTTCCTTCTCTAATGTGTGAGATTCCAGGATACATAAGGCCATTGGTAGTTCTCTTAAGGCCAGATTTCCAAAGAGCTCAGCTCTAGAGCTGGTGAGGATTTTTTTCATTGGAAAATGCTGATTCATCAAAACCAAAACATTTGGGGGAAATTTATTGGTTTTGACAAAGCTTTTGTCAGGAAGGTGTCTTAGATCCAGGATAAAATTTAGAGAGAGAGAGAGACCCCAGGCTAAAGTAGCCAATAGCTCAGGAGCTGGGGAGACCCAAGTTCAAGTCCTTGCTCTTAATGAGGTTGAATCTGGGTCTTCCACGTCTCTGGTGAATGCCCTTTGTGGAAGGGCTTTGTTTTGTTCTGATGCAGAACAAAAACAAATTCTGAAATCTCAAATATTTTTGCAAAACAGAATTCTTGTTTTCTGGCCAGCCCTACTCAGCTCCCATTTGGTCGCTTATTTTGGTGCCTAAATGGGAGCTGAGCTTTTTTGTACATCTATCCCTACGTCTAGATGCTGAGCACTCAAGAATCTGACTCCTCCATGAATATTTCATTCTGGCCACATGCCTGTTTCCCCATGTTTCTCTTCCTCTTTTGCTTCCTGTTTCTTTCCTTCCTCCTTTCTCTACTCTTTACAGAAAGATAGCTGCCAAGCCAATACAGTTCAGTGACCAGTGGTTTCATGGTGAGGTTTCATCTTTCATCATTAGATAGTAAGAATTTAGTGGCACCTCCTGCCCTGCCCCTGCATGGGAGTTGAAGGTCCCTGACTGCAAAGACCAGAACTGCCCCTCTGCATGTAGTAGAGTGGAAGCAGGATTTGGGGAGTGTACATGGGGGGGGGGGGAGGATCCCCAGCTCATCGCAGTGTAATGCTCCTTGGAGATTCCTCTGTGGCTGGGGGAAGGAGGATGGAGTTGAAGGTGGATAGGAGTAGGTGCAAGTGGTGATGGAGTGGGGAGTCTGTGACTACACAATATCTGATAGCCTTGTCCTACATAGAGGGGTTGCTGCTCCAGCCCTGAGGTTGCAGTAGGAGGCATAGAACAGCTGGGATGGGGAATCTTTTTCCCCCTCCATCATCTGTACTGAGAACCCTCAGCACAATCTGGTCACTCAAGCGGTTGCTGGAAGAGAGAGGTTCCATGGCAGTTTCCACACCATTATTGCCGCCAAATCTCCTTTCCCTCTGGAAGCAGCAGCTAGATGGAGGAACACAGTAGCCTTTCAGGTGGGCCCCAGTTCTCCAGTTTCATAGTCTTCTCATGTACTTGCCTCCCTTAGTGTGGGAGACTTTAATAGCTTGGGGGGTTCAGTGGGGCGAGGTGCATTTTGTGGTGTCTGAATTGTTTGCTCCACAGGAAGGGTTTCGGTGGTGGTCATCAGAGATGAGAGAGGTTGCATGGCTAGTCCACAGGAACGACTTGACAGTGAAGGTGAGGAGGGGAAGATGAGTGGCTCAGTAAAGATAGGGGGATTCAGGGTCTGTTGGAAGGAAGAGCCGAGGCCTTCCTAAAGGGATGGGTAATATCAAAAGGTTCAGAGAGTCAGATGAACATCTAAACTACTGGATGCGTAACTAAAGGTTTTAAGGTACTGCCCACAGCTTATCCTTATGGGCTAACTCCTAACCTCTTACACCCATGCCACCCTGCTGCAGTCAGTGAGGTGTAGCTGAGGGCAGAGGATAGCTCTGTATTATGGAGGCTACATCGTTTAATAGCTAGAGCATGAGCCTAGAAGTCAAAACTCTGGGTTCTAATCCAAACTCTACCACTTAGTTACCGAATGACCTTGGGCAAAGTCACTTAGCCTTCCTGTGGTTTAATTTTCCCCATCTGAAGAATGGATATAATTCTGCTTACTCCCTTTGTAAATCCCATTTTGATCCTCAGGTGAAAGATACTGTGAAAGCACAAATTATTATTACTTTTAAACTATTGTTCTGTTGTATTTTTTGGAGTGGCGGACCTTTGTGAGTCACTGAGCAGTGAGATAGGAATTCATTGCACTCTAGCACTAACAAAAGAGAATATATGAATATAACAAACTATAGGTGTCTGCAGTATTCTTTAGCCCCAGTAATATGCTTTAATGGAGGTTCAGAACAAATTTCAGAAAACTTACTTGACTTCTATATGTCAGTGCTGTAATTCTGCAGTGATTTTTACAGTGCTGGGAATGAAATTTGTTTCAAGGTAACTGCAGTGGAATATATTTATAACAAGTTCCAATCTGCAGGGAAATTCAAAAGAATCAAAACCCTCATATATAAAATCAATATCTTAATCAATAGATGTTGCTTTCGAAAAGAAGCTTGGTTTGAAATGCAAATGCAGAGACCTTCATTTCTCTGCTCCAGTAGCAGTTTTTATTGTGCAGTGCTGCATTTTAATGGTCAGTTTAACGTAGCTATTAAGAGCCCTGCTACACCATGACTGAAATACTTAACAAAGCTGCATTCTGTGGAAAGCATCATTCATACTAATGGAGTGTCACTGCAACAGGAAGAGGTGAAGGGATACATTGGCAGGGAGTCTAAGTCAGAGGGACCTTGTGATATTTTTAAAGACAACAATATTATGGTTCAGGTTTTAAGGGTAGCCTGGAAATCTACAGGCCCAATCTTGCAGATTTTGGTTATGGTTTTTATTATCTGTATATTTTGCAGTACAGGCTTTTCCCCTCCAGCACTCCTCTAGAATCCTTCATTTGTTCAGTATAGAGTGTGGGTATGGGTATGTGCGCCCAGACGTTTTCATCTGTTTCTTTCTGTATTTGTACAGTACCTTGCACAATGGGCCCCGGCTGTGATCGGGGCTCCCCAGGAACTACCATAATTCAAATAATGGTATCTTCCTGTTCGCTTTCCAGGCCACTTCTGCCCTGATTTACATCCAACATAACCCCACTTGCTTCAGACAATCATTTTCAAAAAGCAAGGATGAATAAATCTTTCTGTAGTTGATTGTGCCACACAAGCAGGGTTCATTCTTATCTGTATACCTAGGTATTTAGTTGTACCCTGGGGAGCTGGGTGTGTCAATCTGTGTGAACTGAGATGAGAAGGTGCTCTAGGCTCTTGGATAGGGATCTGCAGTCTTTGTGAGGGAGGGGCAGAGTTACCTTGGGGAGAAAAGTTGCTATGGATTTGTTTGTTTTTCCCCCTGAGCTTTGATTCTCATAAGCATTTAGGGGTAAACTTAGAGGCAGGTTGAGGGCTTGCGTCCACATGCTCACAGATACTTGGTTTCCTGGGAGCAAACTGTAGGTGTTGGTCATGTTTGTGGAATACACATTCCTTAGTACGTCAGTGTGTGTCTGTATGTTTAAGGTCAGCACGGTTATCTGTCCAGAAAATACTTTTTTTCCCCATGGAGGCTAATCTTTTATGGCATCTGTATGAGTCAACCACTGAAATAACGCCTCCTGCTAGTACTCTTCTAGGAAGTGTCCAGGATAATTGGGCTTCAGTGAGGTGTTTCTCTGTAAGACATTACAAACTGAAATGAGAGGGAAACATGCAGGACAGTAGGCTCTGGGTCAGATTTTGAAAGCTTGGCCTCCATTTTGGCACTGGGAATTTTAAGACACCAGTACTATACTTACACCAAAAATTTTATTTACTCATGTGGAATTTTTAAATACAACCTCACATTATTATTATTGCTCAATTGTATTATAGTAGCATCTAGCGGTCCCAACCAACATTGGGATGCAATTGTGTTGAGTGCTGTTTAGACAGATAGGACAGCATCTCTGCCCCAAAGAGCTTACAGTTTAAATAGACATGACACACAAAGGGATGTGATGGGAAACTGAGGCACTGGGAGGTGAAGTGGCTTTCCAAGGGTCACACAGGAAGAGCCACAGCTAGGAACTGAACCCATATATCCCAAGTCCCCAACAAGTCCTTTATCATAAGACTATTCTTCCTCTCT